TCGTCTGATCCCCTCCTCTTCGTCTGTGTATGTCTGGACCTGGCGCCTCCTTCCTGTGTATAGTGCCAGGCCCCTTCACACCTTGTGATGGGCATGATGTATGTTTGGTCTGCGTTGCAACATTGGTTGGGGCTAGTCATTGGTATTCTAGCATTTTGCTGCGCTGTCTTGCACTACGTAGTAGAGGTCAGTCCCGGTCAGGTCAGGACTTGTATCTAAAGTCTTCCCTGCGCTATAAAGCACCATTTTGTATGTATCGGAATGCACATTGCTTGTTGAGATTCCACTTGCACTGCATTGTCCATTCAGTCCTCTTTATCACATTGCGGATCCTCGGTTGTTATGTACATCGCCCAACTGGACATTTAACAACACCCCTTCCAACTTCTCCTATGGACTAACATCTCCGCCCATCTGCACAAGACAGAGAAGATCAGGTTTGGAATGATCAGGAATGTGACATTGTAGACCATCTGGAAGGAAAGATGCTGCAGGACCATTGAGGGCACGTCAAATTCAAGGGAAAATGTGTGGGCAGAAACAAAGAATTTGATCCAGGCAGAGATTCTATGCAAGTGGCACAAGACAAGACTTTCCCTACCAGGCGAGGAGGAGCAACAGTGCAGAGCTCTGCCGAAGTTCACCAAGATCTGGCTGGTGGATGGAAAAGTTTCAGAGATAAAGGACTCCTGCATATGGTGGAAGGACTGGCACAACTCGTAAGGAGATAGGAGAAGACCAGGACACCTCACGACCAATGGAATAGTTCCACCGCGGACTACAATGTCCTTATGCTGAGCAACAAGGGTCTAGGAAAGCCACTCCGAGCTTCGAGTAGTTGAACTTTTGAGAATTGTCCTGCGGCTGATACCCTGCCTCTACAACAACCTGGGCATTCTTAGCGTGTTTTTTTTTTTTTTTCCCCTTAAACACCAAAGGCCCCATCTATTCTCGGGGGCAGCAGTCCGGTTACTTATCACCGGCAAGCATGCGGGGGAAAAAAAAAAAAAAAAAAAAGAAGCAAAACAGGGTTTGGGGGCGAGATGGAAATGAAAGGAAAGACCTTGCCCTTATGGCTCGAAACGCCAGCTGCAAGGGGTTACAACTAGGGTCACCCCACCCTCCATAATGTATTCAATCTTGACTTGCCAGGGGAATAGGAACCGGACTGACGGGTTTTTTTGCGCTAGCGCCGCTCGGTTAGCGCAACGCTGCGCTCGCGTCGAGCCGTATCCTGGCCCCGCAGGGGCTTCGCGCCATCTCCTGGCCCCGCAGGGGCGTCTTGTCGGACCATCGCCGGAAGACCATACACCCGCCATAGCCGGATCCACAGTTGACACCAAGTGCGCGCGCTCAGCGCGCGCACCTATCTCGACGTCCGCCATGGGAAAGAAAGGCTGAGTCGAGGAGTGAGCGACTATGCCCATCTTGGAATACGTTGTACCGAGCGAACTTTAATTACTTGGAACACCGAAGCACCGCCCGCCTCTCGACTGAAGAAAGACATCCCTACAACATCTTGCATCGCCACGTCCGAGCCTTCATCGCCGAAGACGAAGATCAACTGGAGTGAGAGCTACCTACACCAACCTCCATTCCCTCTCTGCTTGTCCCTACCATCCCGCTCGCGCCACCGATCCGACCTCAACCCATTCCACCAGAGACACAAATTACCTTCTTCTCCCCCCCGTCCCCATCCTCAAGCTCGACTCTCGCCCGATCCTAACCCATTCGTCATCCCAATTCTCCGATCCAGTCCTCAGATCCTGTCTTTCACCCACTCCGTGCCTAACTCCAGC